AGAGAACAAAGAAATACTTAGATATTAGGCCTCTCTAAAATCTCATGTCTAACCCTCTCTCATTACAAACTAGTCAAAACTAATGTCCTCCTGGACCCACACTATGATTTCAAAAAAAATTTTTTAATGTGAAAACTGAGAATGGGGTTAGATAAAATTAACAATTTTGAATTTCATTTAACAAAAAGAAGGGATGAAATGTCAATAAAGCATCAACATCACACCAGAATCTGTTTCCAGCCTCTTTTAATAACAGTTTTAGAAAAAGAACAGTTTTATCTCAAAATGTGGCACTGGTTAAGCAATGAAACAAATTAAAAGATTTTCCTTTCCATGATGAAAATAACTAGTAAACTAAAGGCACAGTTTAATGACAGTCATGCCTAGTCCAGTGGTTGCCTCTAGCATTAGTTTCTGAAATAGCTATGGCAGTTAACACACTTTTTAGTTACACACTTTTTCAGTTTCGTCAAACTGAAGAAGTGTATCGAAGTTATGAACTTTCAAGAAGACCACTATGATAAAACAGCCTATTCTTCTCTGAGAAAAAACTTGGAAAAACTAAAATAAGATGAACTATGAACCTTCTCAATAATTTTCAAAAGAGTGGTTCCCATATGCTCTCTGGAATGATTTTGGGAACATTATGCTCTTGAATTCAGTAAGTATTAATACAGTAAGGCTAAACTTTATTTTATTTATTTATTTATTATTAATTAAAAGCTCACGTCCGCTGCCGGCCAGCCCCACTGCAGCCTACGCCGTCGCCAGCGACTCACGGCAGCCCAGCTCCAGGTCAAGTTGTTGTTCACCATCTTAGCTATAGAGGACGCAGCGTCACTGGCCCTAATGTGGGATCCCAACTGGGGCCCCGCTGCTCAGAGCTGGCGTCCCAAGCCAACTCCCAACCAACGCGCTACTTGGCCGGCCCTGAATTTTAAAACTGTACCTATATTAAGCACACACTGGGTTTTCTGAACATGTTTCATTTTACACAACAGCTTTAACCCAAAGAAGTATATCTCAGACCACGAAGTGTTTGTATATTCAGCCAGTGTAACAGAACACTGGTAACATATCACTTATGTGTGAGGAACATCAGGTATCCAGAATATGATCCCAAATCAAGAAAAATGTCTCTAGTAACAGTGACAGCAAGGTAGAGAAAAAGGAATAGAAGAATTGTACTTTTAATGACAGAAAAACTGATAACTGGGAGTGATAAAATGTAATACCAAAACATACAAATAATATAGATGGCCCCCAATTTAATGCTTTTATTGACTACTTGGTTATTCTTGAGATAGTTTAATGTGGGAAAGATAGGATAAACATTTGATTCTGTCAATTACTAGTTTTCAAAATACTGAGTTGGTTTCCTCGAATCCGTGAAAAGTGACCAACGAATTTCTTTTCTTAAAAATCAAGTTGAGATATAATTTATAAACATTGAAAATTCACCCTTTTAATCAGCTTAGACCAGGATTCTCAACTGGGGCCATTTTGCTCCCCAGGAGCTATATGACACTGTATGGAGACATTTTTGTGTCAGGTCTGGTATCCAGTTCTACTAAACATTCTACAACGCACAGGACAGCCTGCTCCTCCCCCAAAATGAAGAATTGACATTCTGAAATGTCAATAGTGCCAAGCTGAGAAACATGGTTTAGACAAATATATACAATAAGTAGTATAACCACTAATCATGCAAGATATATTTTCACCAACTCAGATAGTTCCCTCACCCCCCCTCTGCAATCAGTCTTCTTTGCATCAATATGAACCGATGGATTTAAACATATTTGATGCTTCAACCCATTGCAGTTTTTTATCTTTATTGATACTCAAACTGTCCACTTGGCCATAGAAAAATACCAAGTTGGCTCCTGTGTCCTTTGTCAAGATTTCCCACGTTTGATGTTAATTTCCTGCTCTAGATCTAGAATCAGCTATTTCTTCAAGTATTCCTAGTATTTCCTAGCTTCTTTTAAAGGGAAATTAGTGTTTAAAACTGCAATCTAGTTCTGTAGTCATTTTAGTTACTTGAAGCTCTGGTGGCTTCCACAGAAAGTAATCATGTGAACACTATTTCCTGAATTCTTACATGTTGGTTATTAAATTGTCTGTGGTCTTCATACTTGGAGGTCTATTTGTCTGGATATAACATTCTTGGTTCATGTTTTACTTCCTTGATTCTCTTAAATGTTAATTCACTGCATTCTGACATGTTGCCAAAAAGTCTAGTGATAATCCATTTTTCCTTCCTTTGTAACTGATTAGGTCTTTTTTAAATTAGGATGCCCAGATGATTTTTTTCCTTAAAAACTATCAGTTTTACTAGACCATGTCTCATTGTTGACCATGCTGTGTCAATTTCCCCAGATACGCTTTGGGGAAGTTTGCTTTCTGTCCCATGGGTTTTCGTTGTTTTCTTCCATGAGGCCTTTGTTCATATAAATGTTGGTTCTTCTTTCCCTGTATATTATTTTTTCTCAATCCTTTGTACCTCCCCCCTTTTTTATTTCTTTTATTTTAAAAGCTTCCCTTTTTCTACTACATATAAAAAATTTTGTTTTACTTTGTCTTTTTACTGTATTGAGTCATTATCTGTTGTGCTTATTTTTATGTTCTTTTCAGTTTCATCTAAAGTAATTTTCTCTCGTTTCCAATTTTTTTCCTGAGCTCACTTTTCAAATTCTCCTTTTCTCCAATCACGTGTTTCTGAGATTTTTCTAGTTTGAATTTGTACTTTCAAAATTTCTATCATTTCCTTAAGTTCTTTTAGCTTATTTTGAATTTTCTATTTTGTGGGAATGTCTTTCCAGGTCCTTTCACGGTCTCAGGGAATGTTTTTCTACTTCTTTCTGTTGTTGTTATTAGTATCTTTTGCTAGTAGTAACTTTATACGAATTCAAACTCTTTTTAAAGTAAAATGAGTTTCCCTGAAATTTTAGGAGCAAGGGGTAGGAGCCAGGATGGCTTTTCTAAGCTTCAAGTCTTTAGAGATTCCTTTTCTCTTATTTTTGCAAAGTGGTTAAAACAAAAACAACACACAATTCTTCGTTCTTTCTGCTATCTACCCCTCTGCTCTTTCTCTTATTTTTATCTTGTCCTTTTCTTTGTTCCTGTCTAGCTCAATGTGGATTCTACTCCTAGAAGTTCTTCCTCATTTCCAAGCTTTGCATTAGAACTTCAGTTGGTTCAATTTAACAAGTTGTCAAACTATCCCCATTCCCTTGTACACACCGTCTAACTGAAGCCTGCAGAACCCCTTACCAACCAGTTTCAGTTCCTGTTCTAGATGTTCTTCAGTGAGTGTGTTGGTGATTTAGAGGTTCTCCTACTCTCAGGAACATCAGAAGCCCTGTTTGTTGCCTTCCCGCTGCTACCTCCCCTTCCCAAATGCCAGTAATCTATAGATCTTATAGTTTGTTCCCACCTGCTGGTTCACTGCAGATATAAGGTTTTGTGACAGCGTTTTTGGTTTTGCTATCCTAGTCTCTCCAGCCAATATATTTATTTGTTTTATAACCATTTTAGATTTATAGAAACATTACAAAGATAGTTCAGAAAGTTCTTATATAGTCTACACCCAGCTTCCCTTAATATTAACATACATAACCAAGGTACATTAATCAAAACTAATAAATTAACATTGGTACAATTCTAGTAACTATAGACATTTTTTGGATTTCACCAGTTTTTCCACTAATGTCCTTACTCTCTTCCAGGATCCCATCCAGGATACCACATTGCATTTAGTTGTCACATCTCCATAGGCTCCTCTGATCTATGAAAGTGACTTAGTCTTTCATGACCTTGACAGTTTTGAAGAATACTGGTTGGTATTTTGTGGAACGTCCTTCAATTTGAACTGTTGTGATGTTTTCTCATTCGACTGAAGTTATGGGTTTTGGAAAAGAATACGACACAAATGAACTGCCCTTCTCATCACATCATATTAGCAGGTACATGATATCAACATACGTACTCTCTTTTTGGGAGGGAGCTACCAAAAGATTACAATAACTGGCTGCCACCATTATGTTCTCACAATTTTCACTAAATTATCTTTTAAAAGTTTAAAATAAAAAAAGATGCAATCATCTAAAATAATTATTTAGGTGGACTCCTCATTCTCTATCTGCGGTTATTTCAGTGGTATGTGTATGTACACGCATGTGCACTAGGCTACGGGGCGCACCAACAGATAAGACTACCTGGTTCCCAATCTTCATTCTCTCCTTCTTCTTGCCTAAAAGGTGCCTGATTTTGCTCAGGGTAACAATATGCAAGGTTAAAAATATTCTCCTGGACCGGCCGAGTGGCGCGTTGGTTAAGAGCTGGCTTGGGACGCCAGAGAGCCCCGGTTCGGATCCCACATATGAGGGCCAGTGACACTGCCCTCCACAGCTAAGATGCTGAACAACAACTCAACCNCGGATCCCACATATGAGGGCCAGTGACACTGCCCTCCACAGCTAAGATGCTAAGCAACAGCTCAACCTGGAGCTGGGCTGCTGTGAGTTGGCGAGGGTGTAGGCTGCAACCCCTGCTGCACTGGGTTGCCATCGGCTACCATGTGCAGCCAGCCGCCAGCATAAGCGTTCGTCCAGAAGCCGGCGACTGATGTGCCTCGCCCAGGAAGAGCGCAATGATGGTGCCAACTTGGGCCAGTGAAGCAACATCTTCCACAACTAGACTGAAGAACAAAAGGACAGCAACTTGTCTGTTCCCCTTCCCCTGATTCCCCAATAAAAATCTTAAAAAAAAAAAGAAATGTGGTAAATACATACAATGGAATATATTCGGCCTTAAAAAGAAGGCAATCCGGTCACATGCTACAATATGAATGCACTTTGAAAACATTATAGTAAATTTACACAGTCAATCACAAAAAGACAAATACTCTGATTCTACTTATATGACATATCTAATGTAGTCAAATTTATATAAATACAAAGTAGAATAACAGTTGCCAGAGGCTGGGGGGAGGCGGAAATAGTTGAAGTATAGAGTTTCAGTTTTATAAGATGAAAAAGTTCTGGAGATCTGTTGCATAAAATCGTGAATATACTTAACACTATTAAACTGTACACTTAAAAATGGCTAAGGTGGTAAATGTTATGTGTTTATCACAATTAAAAATAATTATTTAAAAGATAACTATTTTTACATTATTTCATTTAAAATAATTTTTCCCTAAAAATATATAATTGCTAGAGATGTAACAGTGAACAAAAATACCATTAAGTAAATCACAATATTTATGCAATTCTCTTCCTTCTTTTCCATGCATCTGCTTTTGCCAACTTGAGCCAAAATTATAAGTAAATGGGTAAACAGTTAAAATATTAAAGGACATGACAGGATTTTAAATTAAAAATAAATAAATAGCCTGACAATATATAACACAGTACCAGGAGAATATAATATAAATTCAAAATACTTGTGGCTCTATTATTTCATATACAGAGTGCCAAAAATATGTATACACATTTTTAAAAAGTAAAAAAATATTAAAATTGTAATACTCGGGCCGGCTGAGTGGCGCAATGGTTAAGAACTGGCTTGGGATGCCAGAGGGTCCCAGTTCGGATCCCACATATGAGGGCCAGTGACACTGCCCTCCACAGCTAAGATGCTGAACAACAGCTCAACCTGGAGCTGGGATNAGTCTATCTGAAGTGTACCTGGCGTATAAGACGACCCCCCACTTGGAGGCATATTTTTCAGGGCCAAAAAATCGTCTTATACGCCAGCAAATACGGTAGTCATAGGGATGTAGTGTATAGCATAAGGAATACAGTCAATAATATTGTAATAACTATGTATGATGTCAGATGGATACTAGATTTATCCGGGTGACAGATGGGAGGGGGGTTGGGAGGCAGGGTGGAAAAGGTAAAGGGATTAAGAAGTACAAGTTGGTATTTACAAAACAGTTATGGGGATGTAAAGTAAAACATGGGGAATATAATCAATGATACGGTAATAACTATTATAGTGCCAGGTGGGCTAGACTAGTCAAGGGGATCACTTCTTAAATTATATACATGTCTAACCACTATGCTGTACTACACCTGAAATATAAAGTAATCTTTTTAAAAATCACCCCTTTAAAAGTGAAATATAAAACAAGAATTCCTACTATTCCTACTATTACTTAACAAGAATGAAATGAGGGGCCAGCTGAGTGGTTCAGTTGGTTAAGAGCTCGCTCAAGAGTGGGAACTCTGAGCAACAGGGTCGCCGGTTCAATTCCTGGTCCAAGCTGAGCTGCCAACAGGTGGCAGGATGGCTCAGCTTAAAAAAAATAAAAAAAAATGAAATGAGGTATAAATGTTGGAAAGAAGTAGATAAAATTATTTGTAGATGACCTGGAAACGTTAAGAATATCACTAAAAATATTGAAAGCGATAAGATTACAGTAAGATAGCCATTGTAAAATTAACACACATAATAGGTGTCCTACATACAAATAAGAACCAGTTAGAAATCAAATGGAAGAAAAAGTCTTATTTGCAATAGCAACAAAACCTATAAAAATACTAAGCTTAAACTTAGCAAGCAATGTGTTGGACCATAGGAAATAATGAAAGCATAATACAAGGCAATAAAAATCCCAGAACAACTTATTGGGGGAATCTGACAAAATGTGTCAAATTCATCTTGAAGAATAAGAGATTCATGAGGAAAAAATGTTTAAATAGTAATGAGGGAAAATACTAAAACTTTTATAAAGGAAGTTATTAAAACAAAGTACCAGAAAAAAACAATAAAATAAAAACAAGCAACTCAAAAGAGAAAAAAATACAAATAAATGAAAATATATTTAATTCCCTAGTGATCAAACAATGCTAATTAAAGCAAGAATCCTTTTTTCCCCACATCATATTGGCAAAAGGTTGCTATCTATGGGAATATAAATTGCTAGATTTCTGAAATTCAGTTTGGCTGTAAATAAAACAGTTGACCCACAAAATTTCTTAAAAGATGTTTTATTGAGGTGAAATTCACATAACATATAATTAACTATTTTAAGCTGTACAACTCAGTGGCATTTAGTGCATCCACAATGTTAGGCAACTACCACCTCTCTCTAGATTGAAAAACCCAATTATAATTAGATGGGGTGTCAACAAAAGGTTCATCAAGGAGAATTTTTTCTAGCACTCCATAGAGAAAACATAGGCATATGCTCTGCACCAAGTTCATAACCGAGCCAACAAGCAATAAAGAAACAAAATCCACAAGTAATTCTAACCTTTTCTACTGTCAACTACCAGAATGGCTTATTAAAAAACAAAGCACAGTGGTTGGAATTTACTTCCTTTGGTAGTTGTGGTAGTTTGACTATACTGATGGATAAGGAATATAATGGACAAGAAAGAATGTAAAGGCTTGGACACTTCAACAACTTGAAGAGCAGTCTTTTTTTTTTTTTNTTGTTCAGCATCTTAGCTGTGGAGGGCAGTGTCACTGGCCCTCATATGTGGGATCCGAACCGGGGCCCTCTGGCATCCCAAGCCAGTTCTTAACCATCATACCACTCTGTCGGCCCAACAGTTTTTAAAGAATTAAACACTGGTTCTTCACATCTCAGAAAATGGGTAGTTTTTCCTAAGTACGGGCAATCAGCACAATGATGGCAAGGCTCTCACCAGCAGATGTCACTGTGATTAAGTGATAGATGGTTGTTTTACCCTCTCAGGCAAGACTTAAGATGAAAAAAAGAGTGAGGGGAGACAAATTTTAAATGGGAGACCATTTAAGGAAGTATAATTCAGAAGTCTCTCCATCAAAACAAGAACTTTTTTCAGCTTTGGTAATGTTTCCTTACTAAACATACTCTAGTTTTTTGTTATCCATTACAAATCCAAAGGTGCAGATTTCCCCATTTCTGATGTCCAAGAAAACCAAAGATTTCAAAATTTGATCATAGGTAACATGCTGAAATTCTTCTAAATTCTAAGACTTTCACCTACTTCCCACTTCTTTCAACATCATTCTATAATGGAAACTTTTTCAAAACAGAGAAATAAATTAGAATTGTCTTATCTTTTCCCCCAACTATCAACAGTGATGATTTCCTAGGGAAAGGGACTCACTTTAACATCCCTCCCAAACTAGCTGGGATGGGATGGGAACAGCGCTGGGATGGGAATAGATAATAATAATTATCTATAATTATTCAGACAGGTATGATTTAAAATTCATTTAAATACACACACACACACACACTAGGAAAGCCATGGGGGAGGGACATAAAAGTTAAGAGAATATAGTCGTTTGGTTTTGTAAGAGAGCACGAAAGTGATCAAATAAAATAAATAGAAGAATGATAAAATCAACTTTGGACTTATTTCATATCTCCATCATGTCCCTAATTAAAGAGATGAACACAATTAATCTCCCTCACTGAATTTTAAATCAGGTTCTTTTAACTGACTTTTGGACTGTTCATATCCATCAACTGACATTTTAAACTACGGGAGAGCCTCTGATAATTAAAATTAATAAGGGCCATCACACACACACTGTGTAATAAACTATAATGATGCTGCTGGACAAACCTAGGTTTGAATCCTGGTTTTACCACTTACTAACTGGGTAGCCTCTCTGAGCCTTACCTTCATCATAGACAAAAAGGATATAATTATATTGGACTAATAAATTAATATAAAGCATATCTAGTATTATTCCTGGCACACAGGAGATACTCAATAAATCACTGTATATTAGGAAATAAAAGGAGGGCTAAATATGACTTTTAATGTTTTTTCTCCCATCTACACAAGCACCCTTACTACCCACGATATGTCATATAGGGGAGCTGTAACATCAAATTCAATCAACATCTCTAAAATAGGAGCAATAGGGGCCGGCCAAGTGGCTCAGTTGGTTAAGAGCTCGCTCAAGAGTTTGAGCTCTGAGCAACAGCGGTTCGAGTCCAGCCCG